ATCTAAGTGGTACAATGAGTTCATCCTTGAACACTTATTTAGTTTTTGGATGAGTTTTTCCGATAGAGACTAACAAAAAACCCCACAAATCTTAGTCAAGATCAGCCATATTTTCGTATTAGTCTTGGCTGAAGAACAACTTAACACCCAAATTAGAATAACATGTAAACCTAGACAAAAGTGAAATGATAAAAGTGGTCCAAACGTACATGAATCAATGTACAAAGGAAGTTTATGTGTTGAATTGATTAGGTATTGAAGTTGTGAGTGGTTGTAGATGGTGGTGGCAGAGGTGTGATGTTTTTTTTGAAGGATTTGATTGCTTCGATTTCTTCCACCGATGAGAAACATCAACCCTCATCCACATCCTATTCCCTCACCCGTCGGAGCTCTGATTTCTTTTATGTTTTGCAATTGAACAACCATACACATACAAAACCATTATATATATATATATATATATATATATATATATATATATGATCAAATGAGAACCTCTAAAGGTTAAGAACCATCTAAGAACTGTTTCATTAAGGATATTTGTATAAATTCAATTATTTACATTACTAAATACTACAAACTAAAGATCAATTTCATTTTTATCACCAATTATTCAAACTCAAACACTTTCATCTCTCTTTATCTCTCTCTAACTCTCTCACCCTCACTCTTACCTCCAGTCGCCACTGCTACAGCCGGTACCACCGCCACCAGTAGAATATCGTCGGCGGAAAACAACGACTTTCAGATCTGGTACCGCTGTTTTTAGATCTAGAAACGACGCCTTAAGATCTAGAAGCATCGTCTTCATATTTGCAACCAACACTTCCAGATGTACGATTCATTCTCCGATGTCATTCTAATCTGATCATATATGTTGTTTTTTGGTGCGATTTCTTCAGATCTAGAACCACCGCCTTCAGATCTGGAACCACCACATTCACATCTAGAACCACCGCCTTTAGATCTACAACCAACATTTCCAGATCTACGATTTTCCGACGTCACTCTAATCTAATCAGATATGTTGTTTTTGGTGTGATTTCTTAAGATATTATACCGTCACCATCATCGTCGACGGCTACACCACCGTCGCCTCCCCTCGCTATTGCCTTCTACTACTAGAGTAAACTATATATATATATATATATATATATATATATATATATATATATATATATATATATATATATATATATAGAGAGAGAGAGTGTGTGTGTGTGTGTGTGTGTGTGTTAGGTTCAAATGTTTCTAGCAATTATTGTGTGCATGTATGCACCAATGAGAATTGAGGAAATAATAAATCATTAAATAAATCATTTAAGGGTATTATAGTAATCTTTGCATATTTAATTATGGTAGATAATTAGTATGTTTATTATCCCTTAAATTGTGGGATGTCAAAGTCAAAACCTGTAGAAAAAACCCTACAATTGTCGTCTTCAATTTTCTTCCTCCACATCTTTGTTGTCTCTTTGGTCATCTTCTTCATCGATCCATCATCGTATATTATTCCACACAAAGCCAGCAAGCACAGTGCGATCTCCTCTGTAGTGTTTCGCGATTCTGGAAGAGATGAGGGGCAGAGATGCACTCTGCACCAATCCCGGTAGAAATTGGAAGGCAACGAAGGCGGCTTGGAAGGCAACGAAGGTGGAAGCCCTAATTTCATATCAAAACGATACAAAATCAAGTTTCTGAAGCTATTTCACTTACAGGATGAGACAGTAAGTGGGTAAAACCTGGATAGCTAATGGATATGTCTCGATCTTTCCCGTTCCCCTGAAAGGTTTTGCGATTTTTCCCTGTAATATTTGATTTATGATTCTTCTACTTCTTGATTGCTTGCAATTCTTCCTCTGAATGCTACTGATTTACGATTCTTCACATGGATTTTCCATTTGATTTATTCACTGAATTTCGATTCTTTGATTTCCGATTATCCTTCCTGTTGATTTCCTATTTCACTAGTATACCCACTGTGCTCTCATTCTTCTTTAATTTTAAATATCCATCATTCAAGTTGATTTTGTGATTTAGAATCTGACTTAAATAATGATAGATTGTTCTTGATACTTGATTGTTCTAAATTTGTCTTTGATGAAAAGGGTTAAGCTGGCATTCTGTCAAAATTTGCATGAAAAGGGTTAAGCTGTGGAATTTTTTTTTCATATCAGAATGCAAACACATGTTCATTCTATGAGAATACAAATATTTCATAAAACATCTGTTGCTAGTAATTATAATAGAATACATTTATATATGCTTTAGAATGTTTATGCATATAGAAGAAAATACTATGATTTAAGTGCATTCTGTAATGTATTCTGTTAGAATTTATTTATATAAGTGCATTCTATTAGAATGTATTTAAGAATGTTTGTTAACAACAAATATATTTGTATAACTGGTAATATTAACGAGTAATGTATCTTATTCTTTCAAAATTGCATGGAGAAGGAATTCAATACTGATCATGCAAGAGAAATATTTGGAATCGAGTTCAACAACAAGTATACATGTGAAGATCAAGTTGATTATATGGACCATTAAAGAGGATGAAGTGTATTTGTTCAATAACTGTATATCTAATAATGCTATTTTTTAAGAATTTCATTCATTTTTGATGATATTCTGTTAGGATATGTATAACTATATTAAAATGTGTAAGGATATTAGTCTGTAAGAATGTGTATGAATTTGTATTTAATTTCGGATGTATATTAAGAATAAAATCATAGACCCATGTTGGATGTATATGAATAATATCTTATTCTTAAATCAGGTCAATTATCAAATATAACCGCATTGGAAATGTATTCTGCAAGAATAAAATCGAAAATATATTTACTAGTTTATGGTTGACATTCTATCATTCTGACAGAATAAAATCGGATTTTTAAATTTGAATTAATTTAAAATATTCAGATTTTCTGACAAAATAAAATCGGATTTTTAAATTTGAATTAATTTAAAATATTCATATTTTTAAAAATAAGGGAATTAATTATCCCAAAAAATTCGAAAATTTCGTTTTTTAATATAGGTTAATTGTCTAAAATGTCATTATACTGAAATTTGTGTGATTATATGGTACATATTACCCTATTGTAATATCATAGACCCTCGGATCATGACATTTGGTTTTATTCCATCTGGTGGTCCGGATCTGTGCATTCTGGCACACAATAGTTAGTAAAAACACAATAACCTAAGCCTATATATATATATATATATATATATATATATATATATATATATATATATGGGGAGAGTACGAACGTTAGCGGTTGAAGGAATTGATGAATCGATTGAACAAATTACATTCAGTCGGTACTCTAATATAAGCCTGAGCAACCTGATTTGTATGGCTTGTAGGAGGAAAACTGTAAGAACGTGGGAAGGAGATGGATACATAGGAAGAACTAAATCAAATGTTGAGAAGAAATGAGGAGTTGCTTATCGACAATGGAGTCATGGGTTTTGTAGTTATCGCATGAGAGTTGAGATAATTGCAATTATAACGTAGGGAAGAAGAAGCAAATTATAGTTTAGGGTTTATGAAACGTGGGAGTGGTGGAGAGGAGTTAAACCGTACCTGGAGGTGGAAGAGAAAACTGTAAAAACCTATAAATAAATAGGGAGGGACTTAACACGATTACAATTGAAAGTTGAAAAAAAAATCAACAGTTGAGTTTCATTAGGTGGTTTTTCACTGACTGCCCTTATTAATTTATATAAAGGAAAATGAACTTAAAATGGTAATATATTTTTCGTTTTGTATACATTTAGTCACCGAATTGTTTTTGTCCATATTTGCCCATTAAACTTGTTATCGTGTACACAATCAATCGTTATGACCGGTTGGTGTGGGTTTAGCCGGGTTCTAATGTTCTTTGCAGCTCTGACGAGACTTTGATTATCTTCTCCGACGAGTCTCACATTCGACGACATTTCCAACAATCCTCACCTCCAGCAACATCTCCGATCACACTTCAATTTTGGGTTGTTGTTGGAATCGAACACAAAATCATAACATGAGCTCATAAAACACACATCATATCTAGAATCACGTTTTTGAGTTCTTGTGTTTCCAAAATGGAGTTGTTTGAGCATCTTTTAGAAGTTCTGATTGTGATTACATGGTTTTCAGCGTCGGAAAATCGAAAGCAAAAATGAGTTATTGAGTTCTTATAACCAAGAACTCCAAATCTGCTATGGTTCGCCAAAAATTTGAGTTCTTAAGCTATGGTTATCGTGTGTTCATGTTCAGCTTAGGATTTTCAAATTTTGAAGCTAGATTTGGAATCGGAATATAAACTTTAATCCCATATGCAAACAATTTCATTTCCATGTGTATTTTCGTTTTCAAGAACTCAACAGATCCTGGAGTCGATTCCCCTTGTAACTACATACGAACTTTAATCAGATCCAAATGATGAGTAGAACACCCTGCAACAATGGAAGTGATCTCACCTTCAACAAATCTCTTAGCATCCATTTCAATAATAATAATAATAATAATAATAATAATAATAATAATAAGTAACTACTAGCAATACAAATCTGAATCAAAGAATCGAGATGAGAATGAAGCTGAAAAGCTATGGAGGAAGAATGATGAACGATTGATCTGTAAGACATAAAACTGAAATCGAGTTGGATGAAATTTGTGAGTTTGGGAAGTGAAATTTATGATGGTTAGTTGTTTTTTTTCAACAACTTACCAACAAAAAAAAAATCCAAGAATGATATTTGAAGAATGACATTTGAAGAATCGTCAGAGAAGATGACCTTAGACTCGCCGAAGAAGATGATTGAAGTCTCGTTAAAAACATCAAGAACGCTGAAAACCTATTAAACCCACCAACAGTCATAATGATTGATTATATACAAAATAACAAATTTAACGGACTAAAAAAAATTAATAACTAAATATATACAAAACAAAAGATACCATATCCTTTAATTCATTTTTATATAATTGGTGCTAAAGCATTCTCGTTCCTTTTACAAACCACGGTCTTTATATAATTGGTGCTAAAGCAAGGTATTCCTTTCATTTTTATATAATTATGTGTTGTACTGTAGCTTTAACAAAAATATTTCAGTAATCAAACATCTTCCGCCATCAACCCCTAGGTTTTTTCTTATCTCTGGTAGCTACATTAAAAACCTGTAGGAGATAACCGATTAGTCGGTTCGAGATTGAAGATCGCTGCATGAAAAAACTAAAGGAGATGGAACCAATTCCTCCGTTCGAGAAGGTTTGTATTTCTATACCAAGTATTTTCGAAGTTATTGGGTGTATTCGCAGTAACAAATTTGTTCTTTCTTATTCATTAAGCTACTAATGGAACTTTATTAAATTTGCGTTTATTAAATGTGCCCTAATCCCCATGAATAATAGTCTGTGCTCAATTTGAGGATAAATGCATTTGGTTTTAATGTCAAGTACTCGAGTAATGCTAAGATTGCCAGATTTTTTTCTCTGTTACTGTAGGAGGATTTCGTATGCCAGACCTGTGGTGATGAAGGTTTCACCAATGCCTTTGTTTACTGCGTGAAGTGCTTGGAATTTGTCATTCACAGGTATGCATTGTTGTTCTTTTCCGTTTTACCTTTCATTCTAACTTCTGCACTTAGCTCTTTTCATCACTTAAGTGCTAACCAATTGTGTATACACTCGATTTCTGCACCTTAAATGGTTCACCAAAAAGGAATAATCATAGTCTCATCTCCTCCATCTCTCTCCTCAAGGATTGGTTTTGGAGAGAGACAATCAAGTACTCCATGTATCGTTAAAAGAACTTTATACATATCTTGAGGTCTTTGTATCATAGCATTTGGAGCTTTTAACGAAAAGATTTTTCATATGTTATCAATTCAAACATTTTGCAGATTTTGTTCATTGTATGATTGTTACTATTTTCATTATAAGATTAAGTGTTAAGTGCATGAAATAGCAACATACTTTCATTTATTTGTTTAGTGTAGCATCCAACTTTTATTTATCTCTATTTGAACAATCAACAATGTACTTGGAAAAATCTACCCAATCATAGCAATGTCATAATAATAAGAAAAGGTTGAAAGTACAATGCTATAATTGGGTATTATTTTTAAAAGTACAATACTTTGAAATTTGAATTTGATAACAAAAATATTGAGAGTACATTGTTGTAGTAGAAAGAATCAAAGAGATGAAAGGAGGATACAATAATGCACAAATAAATGAAAGCATGTTGTTATTTCTTGCATTTAGCATAAGATCAACTGGTAACATGATTAATTACCTAATTATCATAATGGGTTGATTAGTACCACAAAAGAAAGAGAAAGCAATACAAAATACATGACTTGTAACATTGTTCTTTTCTATTTTTGTTCTTCAGATACTGCTTAAAGGTAATACCTAAGACATTCACTGAGTGTGTCATTTGGTATTGTGAAAGTTGCAAACCACCAGTTCAAAATCAAGTCACTTCACCCCAGAAAAATGAAGTAAAGAAAAACATCGATCCAATATGCAGGTAAGGATATATTTATTTCCTTACTTCTATTATTGTATCTTTCATCTGATTTTCTGAATTTTCAACTTTCAAAATGTCTCTCAGTGAAAGTTCATCCTCAGATTCCGATTCAAGTTCCAGTTGTTCCAATATGAATGAATTTGATGAATGGGAAGCACGGATTGCTCAACAAAATCAACACATTAATAGGATCATTGATGACATGATCATAAGCTATCCCAGTCTGATCCTAGGAGGAGATAACCCTTTTAGGTCTTCTTGTGATGGTGAAAACTGCAAAACAACAGAGTCAAAGGAGGTTCTTCATCATAAGAAGAAGAAAGAAAAGAAAGAAAGGGATATTATTATTGCTTCTTTAATAGCAGAGACAAAGGAGGTTCTTTTTCACCCTTTACCAGAGAAAAACCTTACAAACAAGAAAAAAGAACATAATGTTTCTCAATTGCCAAACTTTGAGAACAATGTACAAGAACAAGACAATTATTATAAACATGCACAACCAATCCTCGATCCAGTATGGAGGTAAGGATCCTGATCATAATTTTATTCTCTTACTTCTGTTATTATGTGCTGTTTGATTTCTTCTAGGTTGTGTTTTGTCATTTGTGTAATGTAATTCATTCCATATTGTTAATTTTCATTCCTTATTCTCTCAACATTGGACAGGGGTAGCTTCAAGGTCCTTGGGACAGATTATGATGATTTATTTGAAGGATTTGTGGGACATTTATCAAACAAAGCTTGTGGTAAAGTCTGTGAAGAAGCAAATATGATGCCATCATTGCTTATTCTTCAAATGCATCCCAAGACTCTTCTTTGGCCAAAGAGTTTCCATGAATGTGATCCATCTGATGATCATGTAGCCCTCTATTTTTTTCCAGGAGACCCCATGTAAGCTTCCTTATGATCTTATCTGTTTCACTTTAGGGTTAAATGCAAGAAATAGCAAATGCACTTATATTGATTTGTTTATTATATAATCCTACTTTCATTTATTCCTATAAAAGCATTAGGGTTAAATGCAAGAATTAGATTTTTTTCAAAGTCTAATGCCTAAAGAAGAAAAATAACCAAAGTACAATGCAAAAATAAAAGGAAATCAAAGTAGGATGGTATAATACACAAAATAAATAAAATGATAGTAGATAGTTGTTTCTTGCATTTTCTGTTGATTAATTGTTTATTTATTTTTATATCAAAGTTTTGAAGGTTTATATTGAATTCAGAAACGAAAGGGCTTTTGATCAGCTGGTGCTAGACATGATGGATGAAGAGCTTGCAATGCGAGGCGAAGTGAAAAATGCAGACCTTTTGATTTTCACTTCTGCTGCTCTCCCTCCGTTTTTCAGGAGTGAGTTGTACTGTGTTTGACATGCATTGGACTCTTGGGACAAAATTTGCAATTATACAGACTGACATGACATAACATGACAGAACAAGTTGTACAATGTTCAGACTGAGACAGAGATGGGACAAAGATTGCATCTTTTTGTCCCACTCCCACCTCTCAAAAAAAAAGTGGGATGATAAGACTTGCTCTCGATCTTTTTTCTATGCAAAAGACGATAATGCCCTCCTCATCCTCATTGATATCAATGTTTTACAGGGTTTCAAGGGAAGTACTATC